AGTAAGATTAAAGAATGAGTTTAGATCAAAAATGTCATCTTTGTCAAACCAAATTAAATTCAATTAAAGTTGTTTCAACCTTATAATTATATTAGTTAAGAAAAATAAAAAACTTTAAATAAGGTCCAATGGGATTGAACCATAGACATCAAGCTAACCTCTTAAGCACCTCTATCTTATTTTGATCTCATAATCTTTATCAACTTGATAACTCATAACCCTTTCTCTTCTTCAATCATTCTCTCAGTTTTTCTCATGGAGGATAGGAAATCCTATCTCAAGTTGAGGTAAAAAAAACCTAATTCTTCCCTTGTTATATCTAGGATTTTGATTTTATAAATTATAGATTGATCTTTTTAGTTGCTTTTGAATAACCTTTGCTTTGAATTTATATTTGATTTTTAGACATATTTTATATAAATCTCTTATGGTTCTAAGGCTTTTAGTATGACTTTAATATAAAATTGGTGTATAGAACTATTAGTGCCCCAATATGAGATACTCAGAATCTTTTATTTTTTGAGAAAGAGTTCTATTTAAGCTGATTTGACCCACTTATGGATATGATTAGATTTTTTCTTTTGATATATTTTAAAATGTTCCCTTAGTATTGCGTGGGATTTGAATACGAGTAAATACCCCTTTGTGTATCAAGATATGAGGTATATAAGTTCAAATAGTCCCAACCTAATTTCAATGGAACAAAATAGTTATTGATAATTGAATTAGAAGAGTAATTTAGCCTCCAAATGATTCCGTTTTAAGTTAAAAATTAGTGTGTATTTAGTTCTATATAGTTTTTAAATTTTTTTATAACATTTCATGATAATTCAAAATTGTGTCATTAGTTAAAATAATGAAGTGAAATTTCTTGATTGATATTAGTTTATTTAATTATAGAGTGAATTGTTAAAAGAAAATTTGGTGGTGAAATTTTGATGAATTTTCAAATTGACTATAGTCTATTTTATTGAGATTTTTATTAAATTTTTTCTATAAATTTTGTTATGAATTATTATAAATCAATAATTCAAGAGATAGAGTTCCTAATTAAGGCATGTCATGATCCTATGCTCTCAATTTGATATATGTATCATTCCTTAACATACTTAATTATTACAAAATATGAACTTTCATTGATATCTTCATTTCTGAGTTAAATAAGATAAGTATAAGTCTAATCCATTGCAAAATGGTGATCATATAAATTATCATATTCATAATATATTTTAAAAAGTATGTTCTAAATGATATGATTGTTATAAGCTAGACAGCTAAATGTGAATATATATATATTTTTTAAGTATAAAAATATATGAATTGTGATAAAAATTATATTGTATTCATACATATATGATGACGTATAGTGTAGGAATGCATAAATATATTATGATGTACGATGCATGTATATGCTATGATGTACAATATAGGAGTGCACGTATATATTATGATGTGTAGTATAGAAGTGTACGTATGTATTATGATGTGTGGTGTGAGAGTGTACACGTATGTCATGATATAGGTGGTAGATGTCCATAAATTTATCATGTTTCTTTTGCATATACTATGTTGTAGGGTTATGCTTCCGAAAAAAGTCATACAATTAGGTGTTTATTGTTAAATGTCTTATGTTGATGATTTTGAAGTATTGTATACATGACATGATATATGCTCACTTAAATAAAGTTATAAAGATTTATACTAAGTGATATTCAATATAGACCCTATTTTACATGTAAAAATATTAGTATTTCGCCCATGTGATTGGGTAAGGAAATGAGCACGCTTGAGCCTATGCTACTATAGACATGGACAATGACCTATAGACATTTGTTTAGTTATAACTTTTTGACATATTGTGTGAGTGTGTTTTCCGCTTTGTTAGATGCTATAATTATGTACAAGTGTCAAAATTACTGTGTATAAGGGGAGCACTATCATTTTATTTAATAAATTAATATGTTTTATTTTTAAGATTACCTACATTCCTATTGATAGCAGTAAAAGAACTAGAAAGTGACAATCTACTTTAATCATATATGTAGGGTGTGGGTGAGATGAGAAGGGTATTACAATGATATCCCCCTTTAATGACCCCATAAAAGCCCAAGCTCAATATCTAATATAGTGCGGTAGAGGTAATGACACTTAAGGTGGTGGTTGTTGACATAAGCCTGAGTTAATGACAATCGATAGCTAATATTGTTACTCTTTTTAGTAGTGGTGTTGTTGGTATGATGGGGATGATGTTGCTACAATGAAAACAAAGGAGATGGATAGTGGGAAGGAGAGAATTAAAAAAAGATAGAGTAGAGTCTCTCACCCTTGAGGGCTCCCTTCTCATTTAGGCCTCTTATCTAATATTCTCCGTGGTCACAAGTACTCAATTATTAATTCATTCATTCATTCCTGAGAGAGGGTTTATAATACTTTTATAAGGATATCCATTGGATGAGTGATGAAGATAAGTTTTCATTTTTAAATGAGTAACACATATTTACTTCTAAAAAAATTATAGATAGGGCCTACGAGAACAAGTGTCCACCCTTATACAAATGTCACATGTCCCTTTTTAGATGGAGTTAGATTCATAGGATGAAGAGATATGTTCACTCCAAAATCTTCTACCAAGTGCACTTTAAGATGTGCCTATAACATATCTTTGATGATCAATACAAGTCCAAACCCAAATTCCAATATAATACAAATATATCTAATGTCCAAAGTTTACTCTAATATAATAAAAAATATTAAATATAAAAATATATCTTGCATTAGCATTTAGGCTGGCTTCATTACAATACAAATTTTTGGATCAAAATCTTGTCATCACTATCTAAAATGGTTTTAAAAATTCACTCATTTAGATTTAGATCTTACTAAATATAGTCTAATAGTATAATTTAAAATCATTTGAAGCCATACAAATTATTCATATAATTAGTAAAAGTACATTTAAAGTTCCTATACATAACTAAGAATAATCTAATTAAGGGACCCATTAGTTTGACAATCATAGCTGATTTATAACCATAAAGTTTCACATTTTATATGATATCATCTCCTGACATGCAACTATTTGAAGTTTGAATTTTGATGATATTCTTTCCGAAGCAACTTGGTCAAAATGTATCAAATCATTGATATTTAAAGGGACAAAACGACCATCATTGAATTCATGTTCTTGATAATTCTAAAATTTATGTCCAAAGAAAACTCTGTATTTTCTAATGAAAAAATAAATGTTATTGAACACTTGGAATATTTCGTTGAGAGTCGACTTGGCAGATAATTTCGTAAATTGATGTTCAAATTTTAAGAGTTATGATGCCTGCCATGGGAAAAAAAAATTGCAAAGCATTTTTCACAAGTCGTAGGTTCGATAAAAATTTTTATATCAACTATTCTATTTTCATTATATCTTTTTTAGAATTAAAATATTAGTTTGATATTGATACACTATACTCATCTATCAAATGTTGAGTATTTGAAATTTGATCATATCAATTAGGCATCAACAAGATCTTGGATCAAATTCCACCTTCACATACTATTCACCTTAGTGCAACACCAATAAACTAATGCCATCGGTTTCATGTATATCGAAATAGGTATATCTATAAACATGAGGATGATTGGGAGACACGTCATTCGTAAATCGGAACAGAGCTTGTAGATTTGGACTCACCCACAGATTTGATGAAGTAATCATATGATGTGGATCAGGATCGAGCCGAGAAATGTTGACTGGCCAACAGGGCCGAGTCCAAATTGGGTTGGGGGGTCAATCGATTTGCTAGTCAAAATCGCAATCATGTATATTTGACACACCAACGGTATTAGGGGACCGGAAGGTGGCCATGTTCACATGTTCGTGGGAAAGTAGGGGTTTGACGAAAGGGAACGGTCCTAATTGATGATGCGAAAAGAACGAAGAAGAATAACAACAGAATTTTTTTTGTTTACTTAAATTCAATCATGCATTATAACTATATATAAAAAAGTCTTTATTATTGTGCTTTTATGCTCTCTTAATTAGTTTTTACTTACAGATATTATTTTTTTATCATTTTAACGAAAATAGTCCTTCGTCCTCCACCCATCGTTCCAATCATTGGTATGTATATCATTATCGTCTCGATCCACTACGAATGGTGTTGTTTGTATCTTTCGTCGTCTTTATCTCTACTCCATTGACAATCATATTATTCGTCACACCCTCCTCTTTCTTTGCCATTAATCATTCGTTGTTGTTTGTTGTATTCTCCTACTCATCTCTTCCTTGTATGCAATATTCGTCTATTAGAGTCCTATACTCCCATTGCAAGTGGAGTGATGAGGAAGGAGGGAGAGGACAAAAAAAACCATAGGCTACACCACTCGTAATGGAGGCAGTCTATCGATAATTGAGAGTAATTAGTGAAAGATAAATGAATTTTTCAATCAAATTAATAAAAAAATTAAAAAAATACTCAATTTAATTATAGCAAATTTTGAAGTAACATATTTAGTCTATCCACTATCCATAAAATATTAAGATATTTATTAATATATATTAATAATAAAGATAATCATTATTAAATATGATTATTAAGAGTCATAATACTTATATTTCTTTAACAAATGTTAAAGAGCAGGAAGCTCAATTAATATTTTAATATATATATATACATATATTATACATAAATATGATCCTTGCACTTAAAATAATATATTATCAATGAAGCATATACGTCACCAATTAGTAATTATTATTAAACATGATTATTGAGACTTATTACTTTAAAGGATACTAATATCAATTAATATTCATATATATATATATATATTATTGAGAGTTATAAGACTTTAAATTTTCTTGCCAACTTTTGAAGGGTACTTATATCAATTAAAAAATCAATTAATATCTTGATACGTGGACATGTACGTCGACATATACATTACTCGGGTAAATATATAAATCACTAACTTTAGAAGGATAAAAAATAAAGAATAAACGGACAAAAAATACGACCAACGAAGGAAAGATAGCGACGAGGAAGCGCCCCCAAACCGGCGACAAAAGAAGGGAATAGAAACGGTACCTTCTTCCCCGATCTCCCTCTCCTTTCCGATCGATCCCTTTCACTCCTCTCCATGGCCACGCACTCTCTGCCTCTCCTCCCCCTCCTCCTCCTCCTTTCCGCCTTCTCCGTCCCGGTTCCTCGATCCTCTGCCGCTGCGGCGGCAACGTCGGAAGCGCCTTTCTGCCCCCGATCCGACCTCGCCTTCGTCGGCGGCCTCATAGCGCAATGCCCTCGCTGGATCGAGCTGTCTTTCCCCCTGGAGGTACGCTTTATTTACTCCCTTCTTCTTGCCGTTGAAAGATCAGTCCCTTTCGCTCGATGACATCTTCCTCTTCGCTATTGGTCTTGGAGTTTTGATGATTCCGCATAAGTCGTTCGAATCCAGGGCCTGATTCATCTGCAATAGGATTTTGTAGGTCTGGATCTGTTCTTCTGATATCAACGGTGGCAGAATCGTAATTATAAGGATGTGACGTTTTATCTGAGTATAGCATTCGTTAATGCAAGATGTTCTGAATAGTGCTAACGCGAAAATATACTGATCTTTCTGATCTTTTCACTTTTGTTACAAGTTGGGGTAGTCGATTAATATGGTTGTTCTGTTTCTATGCATAAAATATGCTACTAATGCGTGCACAGATGAAAATAAGAAGCCCACTGAGACATGCCTTGATGTTGAGCAGTTAGCTTTACACTATCTTACAGTTGATTGAGCCTAGAATTATGTATTGCATGCATTAGTTCCTCATATGTGATTAATCTGCTGAAATATTTGCTCTTCATTGGGTTTTTGTTGATGCCAACTTAAGATGAACTGAGAAAGGGGAGAAAAGGAGATTAAAAATTTTCTAGAACAGTACAGTCTCAGTTCTCTATTGGTCCTCAGCTAAATTTTCAATTATTACCCATGGACCAAGTATGTGTAGTGTGATGAATTGAGAAAAGGGAGAAAAATGAGATTAAAAATTGTCTAGAACAGTACAGTTCCAGTTTTATAACTGTCAGAAATAGGATGATGGACTCACACCTGTATTGGTCCCCAACTAAATTTTCAATTACTACCCATGGACCAAATATGTGTAGTATTTGATATAATCTTCTCTTTTCTTGTTGTTAGTGGCATAATTAGATGGTTCTGTGTCATTATTTTTGTCAAGCAGAGTGTGACTTTGAATTACTAATTAATTCTGAATTGGTTGTGGCTGACAAAATTTCTTGGGAACTGCTTTGAAACCATATAGTGAAATACCTTACAGCATAGAACTTCTCACAATAGTTTGTTGCTGATTCAGTGGTCTATGCTATCAAGCTAACTAATATCTTTATACCTTATTGAGTTTGTACTAGTCAGGGCCATATATTTTTAATTTAAATTAAATTAAAAACTTTCAGCATAGAAATCGGGAACCAGATGTTTAACCTAATATGCTGGTGCATAGGATATGGAAGCATAACCATCACATGCTTTTGCAGACGGTCTACTTGTTTGTTGAGACTTGGATGAGAAACACTTCAATTCTTTTTGAGATATTTGAAGCTTTAAACAGTATCATAGTATAAAGAATGTGATCTCTTTTTGTGATTGCTTTGGTAAATTTTTATTTGCTTTTCCTCAAAAGTGTAACGTGGTTGAACTTTATAGGTGCATTGTTCAATTTTTGTTGGAAATTGATATGAGACATATGCATAAATATAGTTAACTACCCAAATAGTTTATAACTTTAATGAGTGTGCCTTTATGATTAATAGAGCCTTGCTGTAGTCTTAGACATGCATTTTCAGAAGATAAAATCATAACATTAGAGAAAGCCTTTTTTGATTAAAATGATAAAAGTCAAATATTTGGCCCTTCGATCATCTGGTGACATCCTTGGATGAAACTAAATTGTTGAAACGATATATGCACACACGCATGTGCATGCACTTATGCACACACACACATACACACACCACATACATTGAATGAGAAAAACTGATCGTGTATATTTGTTGGATCATATGTTACTTCAGCCAAAAAAATAACAAAAAATTGCAAAAACTTTTTTTTTTTTGGAGCTATTCTTTCAATTTGCAATACTATGGCCGAATTGAAAGGTGATAAAACATTAATTGTGGAGATACATCCTTGATACTGACATAGTGTTTCTTTCTTTGATGAGGGAAAATTTGGTACTATTGAAGAATTTGGAGTATGTAGCATGTGGAAACAAAGAATCTAAGATGTTGTGTGTATCGTTAGAAAGTAGTAACAGGTAATACTCATCAAAAGGAGAAAAAAGAAGAGATTGAGAGAAAAAAAATGATGAGAGCAACTATAAGCACTTTTCAGTAATATGAAATCCCTCAGAATTTCATAAAACCATTTCTTGATAGCATTTATGAACTTCTCATGTGGCTACTAGTTCTAGAAACTATTGATCCAGAAGATATGTCTACAGTAAGTATTCCTGTAGTTCTTCAACTGGAAAATGAGAGTTTTGCTTAAAGTTTTTCACCAATTATACTCTTAGGAGTATCTAAACTTATATGAATGTTGATTGCATCTTGGAGAGATTTTTTTCTGTGAAGCAAAGATCAATTGAGAGTTCATATATCTTTGAATAGTTGTTATTTTTAGAAATTAAGCGGCTCATTATATCTTAATGTCCTTTCATGCTGTTGTAATTTCATATTAAGTAGCACAACATAAGCACCTGACTTATTCAGCATAGACATTGATTCTTTCTATGGTTATTAACATATATCAAAACACCACCGGAATCTAAGGATTACCTGCAATGACTTCCATGCCTTTCATCATAATTGCCCATCATCATAACTTTCTTACCATATATCTAAACTTTGCTCTAGATCAGCACTGTAGGTCAATGTCCAAGATATGATCTGAAGTAATTCTAAAATGTAGTTTTTCAGCCAATCAGGCTGAATTTGGGATGAATATATATAGAAATATTGATACAAGTGAACATCATTTAGGCTGGTAGGCAAAGAATCATTAACTCAAAAGCTTCTGACAACAACAATGATGACAAAAAAGTCGTAAAATCTCAATTATTTGAAGTCGGTTACATGGATATTTTGTGGTCATTGAGATCTATAAAAAATCATATGTTTAGTTAAGTTAGAACATTTAAATCTTAATTTATAGTTTATATTAAGATCTTCCTATACTTCTTCTTATACCATTGATAGTAATTATTTCACCTCTTAACTATCGCATTTGTAGGTCTCGGTTTTAAGTACATATCTATAAACGATTATTTCTCATCTTATCCTATATCAAGTTGATACCTAATTATTCATGAATAAAACCATTTCTTTCCCTATCTTTCCTATTATATCCACACATTCACCTCAATATTCTCATCTCAGCGGAACATATTTTTTATATATGTTGTTTCTTAGTTGCCACACACATCCAACAAATTATTTTATTGTTTCTAATAAAAAAATTCTTTTAGCCTTAAAGGTATCTAATGATCACATAATATATGTATTTTAACCATATTATATATTAACCAATTGAGAAAGAGGAGAATAAACTTTTTTTAACAATGTTACATATCCTCCATCACTTTGTTTCCTTTTCTTCTCTCCATGTGAATAAATGGGGTTACTGCTCCATATGTGTATGTTCAACTTATTGTAATTTAGCATACCTTACTAACATCCTTGATTGATCTATCTTAAAAGCGAGTAGCAAATTTAGTTAACCATGTGGTATTTTAATCTTATCTTATACCTTTGTGAAGCTAAAATATATTGTCGTCTAACCCATTAAACCAATATGAAAAAGTTTTATAAAATAACTCAAGACCTAATGAAAATGAAGAATTTTATGATATGATCTTTAACATCTTGGCATCTTTGTTGTAGTTTCAATTGTTTTACTAATGTTTGAACCAAGGTATGCAATTTCGTACCGTACCGGAGTTTCGACGCTTGTTCGGTATGGTACGAAATTGTATACCATTCGGTATACCGCTCGGTATACCATTCGGTATACCGTTCGGTATATATATATATGTATAAATTATATATATATGTATGTATAAATTATATATATATATTTTTTATAAAAGGCGACGTCGCCTTTTCCTTCTCCCAC